ATGTAGAACAATGTTTTTGTGTAGTATGTTATGCCAATCGAGCTTCATGTCCCCTGTGATCATAGTCCCACCAAGGCTGTAACCTTTATGGGAGCAGACTGCCTCATCTTTCTCCTGTTTCAGTAGATGCTATATTTGAACTGCTGACCTATTGGTTAGCAGTTGTTGAGCACTTAACCATGGTGCTATGAGGACTCCTACTGGGGTGGGGGGTATTTGGGGAGTAAAAAATCAAGTGACATTGAGATGACTGTTGGCCACCCCAGTGTGCCTGGCATAGAGAAAGGGTACATATTTATTAAATGAGTAAGTAGTGAACAGATGGCCAGATGGATGCCTTTATTTCTTTTATTTAAAAACTTCTCATGTCACTTGGATAAACACAGTACACAACATAACAGCCAGGACCCCGGGCTCAGATGGTGGTTCATGGTCTCAGGGCCCCAAGAGCCAGTCCTTTGTCTGACTTACCATATGAGGATGGACACATGAAAGTACCAATGGCAAGTTCTGCAAGATGGGGCAGAGCAGGGTGCATTGGGGAGATCCTGGTAGCCTGGCCTCAGGGCAGGGCTATTTCCAGAAGGGGGCAAGGTGGGGCTCCCCCAACTACTTGATCAATTTGTGCCTTCCAGATAATGGCATGAGAAAGACCCCTGGGTATATCCTAAGAAAACCTTGAAGTGCAATTCAGGAAAGAACAGTAAATGTGGCTGCCCCACCCAAGGGTGGGACTTGCTTCAAGGTGCCAGCTGCATCACCCTGCCCCGGGTTGCCCTCTCTCTCCACTCTAGACAGATGGAGACTGTACTCCCAATGTTTCATCTGTGAGCTCTTTCACTTGGCTGCCCACATCCTCTGGGCCAAGGTACAAAAACAAACAAACAAACAAACAAACAGTGACTGCCATCGAGCTGAGTCCAACTCACAGCTACCCCCATTGGGTTTCCAAGGCCATAAATCTTTATGGAAGCAGACAGTCTCATCTTTCTGCCGCAGAGTGGCTCGTAGGTCCAAACCACCAACCTATAGGTTAGCAGTCAAATGCCTTAACAAGTAACCACCAGAGCTCTTTGGGCCAAGGCTCACTGAGCACCAATTCTGAACCAGACATGCCAGACATTGTCTGTAGGGAGAAGACATTAAACATCACTGGTAATTGTGGCAGTTTTGATTAGCACTTAAAGATGGAGGGCAGGGACCGATGAAAGGAAGGAGCAGGGGCTGCAGGGACTATAAACAAGGGCGGCCTGCCCTGCCTGCCAGGAATGCCCATGGTTAATGTACTTGGTTGCTAACTGAAAGGTCAGAAGTTTGAGTCCACTCAGAAGCACCTTGGGAGAACGTCCTATTTACTTTTGAAAAATCAGCTATTGAAAACCCTATGGAGCACAATTCTACTCTGACACACATGAGGGTACCATGAGTTGGAATCACTCAACAGCAACTGATTTTCTGACCCTGCCAATCAGAGGCTCACAGCCTAGGAGGGAGGCTCCATGGTGAAGAGGGTTGTAGCTGAGGGAGCACACAGGAAGGGCATGAGAGCCGTTTTGGGATATTGGGGAATAAGACAGAGGAAGGGAATTTTTAGCTGAAAATTCATAGGATGAAATACAATTTCACCACTAGGGCAGGGAGAAAATTATAGGCAGAGAGCTTGAGAAAACAAAGGTGTGGCTGCCCAGTGTAGGGGATGTGTGCAGACAGGAATATGCAAGGGCTCAGAGGCCCGAGGCCAAGTGACAGGGTATGGGGCCAGACCTTGAAGGGTCTCCTGCAGGGGTGAGGCAGAGGGGTGCCACATGTGCCTGGGGCCCAGCTCTTAGCCCCCAGCTCTGTGAGTCCCCATGATGTGGGCAGAGCCTGAACCTGGGAGTCAGAAGGCCTGGACTGTTGCCCTGGCTCTGCTACTATGTAGTTCCATCTCTTCTGGCCTTGGTTTCTTCCCCTGTCAAATGAGAATAAAACAAAACTAAGAAAAAAAGAGAGAATAAATAGTAATAATTCTAGCCAACATTCACTGAGGCATCACTCCATGCCAGGCACTCTCCTAAATGTTTTACAAACATTATATTAACAAATACAATGTGATGGAAAAATTTGGAATGATAAGGATGATGGGTGAACATGATGAACATAATCAAATGTCACTAAACTGTGTACATGTGAAGATTGTTGAAATGGCAAATGTTTTCATATATATATATATATATATATATAT